CGGCAAAAAAGGGATCCAACCCTTTTTTTCCTTCACGATCAATGCACGTTGACTTGGATGCCATTGCGGGAACCTGGGTCACACGGACAGAGCTGAAATGGAAAACAAACAGAAAAGCCAACACACCACAAGCATACCCACAGAACAATCTCACACATCGCTGACGACCTGCGCCTCCAGATAGAGACCTCCTCTTGACATCTTCCAACACAATCGCCACTTGCTAGAATGACTCTTGCAGAATGCAACGTGACCATGGCAGCACCTCACGATGCTCTACGCTCATCCTCCTATCTACTCACTACCAATTACCGCTGCAATCGCTTGTCACGCATTCTGCCTCAACTCTAGTAACGGTGACGTATGCGAGTCTCAGTCGTCCACACTTTTACTCCCCGGCGTGTCGGACCACAGCTAACAATTATCTCCGTGCGCATGTCATTCTCAGCAATAGCCTCCCCGGCGTATACGACCCATCTGCTGTCTTTAACATCAATCAATTCATTCACGGATGTAGAAGACTCGAAACAACTTCAGAAGTAATCACGACGAAAATTTTAACAAAATTACGCAATAACAACAAGATACGAAAACAACAAGTAAACACAATGAATCCAAAAAACACCAATTGATATGACACACCACACGTATATACAAACAGTACACACAAACTCGCGGATCATGTCTTTTTGGAATTCCTTTGAAGAATTGCAGGACTTACACCAGTACGCCTACAACCCTTCACAGGTTGACGATTGTAATTTGTGGAATGTCCGGACACAAACAAGATTAACCAACAATTACAATAATTGGAACTCACACAATTATTTAACACAAACATATGTACAATCAACACATCAAATGTTGTGGATTCTGGCACGACAAACTACCCTTGAAGAACTGTAGGACTTACAGCAGTACGCCTACAACCCTTCTCAGGTTGACGCCCTAGGTTGGAAAATCGTCGCAGAGTTCATTTGCTAACTTCCTTCTATCAGCTATATCCTCAAATCTGAACGGTAACACGCCCATGTCATTGTATCGTAGAATATAGATGACGAACAAACACACGACATATCTCATCAACCAAGTGTAGAAACAGAGTAATTTACACCAAAGATAATAACATTCAATTAGTAACTTGAAACTAGAAATGCCTTTATTCATGCAAGTCAATTTAACAATTACTCTCTCGTTTACACTTGGCTTATTCTCACTAAACTGAGCAATATCTTTCGTCTTTTCAAATGCACCAATACTATCATAGTCATTGCATAAGGCTCGTGAGTTCATGGACGTCATTTCATTGTGGATAAAAACACCAACGACGACTGATTGATACCAGGTGATGAACTTAGCGGTGGATCAGAAGCTCTTCTGCTCGGCTTTCAGAAATTTGTCTACTTGCAAGACCACCACCACTGCTGTCTTTCACTACTAGTTCGGGTTTAGCACTATCATCTGATGATAGGTGGGCTACACGCTGATCAATTACACTGACTGTCTCACAAGTATGCACACCTTCTGGAACTGCATCTGCGTTCAATTCTACTTCACGTTGTAGTTGTACAGAACCTTTATTTAACTTAGCAGTAGTAGGCATATCCCCCATTTCATCATGATCAACCAAAGACAAATCTGTACTATCATGATCATTATCACAAATATTCAATTTACCGTCAAGTTCATCATTTTCAAACTCTTTAATAACAGAAGTAGACAATTTTGGTTCCTCCTCGCAAATCATTAAAGGTTTTATAACTTCACTCTGACTAGTAATACCTTGTAAACTTGTAGGGTCAGAACTGCACTCTGAAGCAGCAACTCTATTCTGTGACACTCTATTCAACAATGGCTTACCAGTTGCAACTACAGACTTCTTCACCGCACCGTTATCGTCACACAATTCGGAGTCAGGCCTGGAGTTTACATTTAGCTTATCACTGAACTTGCTCACTGGTTCACAGTTCACTTTGTATGCACCTCTTGCAAACGTGTAAAACACAACCGTGTTTGTCTTGCATCTTGTAACTTATCTGTTGAGGATGTACTACGAAACCTGTTACACTCACTAGGTCTATATGCATTACTAGACATCATGGAGCCTTCTCGATATCCACCTCTCTGAGGCCTATTCGTCATCAATGAGTGCGTTTTACCCTCAGACTGCTCTATTCTAGGGGTGAGATTCAATATACTGGCAAACTTGCTCATAGATTGATTGACACTATCTTTTACCAGTTTCAGGATATCATCAAACTTTGGCTCGATACCCTCATCCTCCATACGGGAGCTTATCTTCACCCACTTCCTTTGCAGTCGAGTAGGTAGGCGTCTTGCTATTACTTCTAGTATAAAACTCGAGTTGAGGTCACTCATGCGATTCATCGAAATCATTCTATTCTTGTAAGTCATAAGATTATCTAAAAACTCAGTGAGTGCCTGGGAGTCATCCTGTAATTGACCACCATTACCCTTAACAGCCTCGAATAATTTCCCTGCAATCATCGAAGGTCTTCCAAACCTTTGACGTAATATGCTCATAGCCTCAGCGTAGCCCTCTTTTGGCTTCATAAACTTACAACATTTATAGCTCTTGCAGCATCTCCAGTGCAATATCTCATCAAATACATTAACTTCAATTCATCATTTAATAAAAAACCACTCAACATGATCTCAAACTCCTTTACAAATTGTAAATAATCAGCCGGGTTTCCATCAAAACACCGTGGTTCAAATTTAGGGAGTTTGATGTTCCTATTATCCCTGAACGGCGAAACAGTAACATCAACCATGTCATGCTTAACATCAGACACATCGTTACAATTAACAGACAAGTCACCATGACTTACTTTCCTGTTTGCATCCAAGACACTCTGTCCCTTCTTTGACCCAGGCATTGTTGAACTTGACCCAATTCCAAAAACGTTCCAGATATTGCTTGTTCAAAGAGGACTTGACCGGCACCAGGAAAATGAACGGCGACTATCCAAACTTTCACCAACTGTTTGAATCCGCCAGATCTGTTTCTATCGTCAGAAACTGTCAATCACGTCTCATAAACCGTTAATGCCCAGCTCTCGCTACGCTCGGGCCCACGCTGTTCTTCGAAGATTTCTCAGAAACGCTTAGTTATAACGGACGAAAAACCAAAACACCGATCTGCCGCTTGTTATTTGTTTATTGTTACACCAACATATAAAAGGAATAAGCGAACTAAGTTCTGAAAACAAATATTACAATAATAAATCGTTATATTACTTCTGACGATATTTTACTCTTCTTTCTGAACAGCGACCGATGAGACGATGACTGTCGTATTGATGCCTCCGCGAAAATTGGGGAAGTTGATTTTGAGCAAACAACCATGAATTGATCGTTCAATCTCAACTCCATTGACATGCCACCGACCCGTAATATCGCTATCTTTTTATGCTGGAGTTAGTTGCTAAAGACCTTCATCTCGTAGGCTGCATAATGAAGCATTTCACCTGGAAGCAGCTCTGTATTCAACGTCAGTTTGGTGAAAATCAACTGCGTTTTCAAAATAAAGTACAGTTTTCTCAGTTAGAACCTCGTAGGTGAAAATTGATATTCGGAACTTTCAACATTGAAAATTCCTTCAGGTTAGGGTGAAGAGGTCTGTGTATCGCGTATAAAGTCACTTAAACCACAGGTTTCAACACCATTCAGTAATTTCATTTCAGGCTGTTTACTGCCACAATGTAAACGAATAGTACATGTTGATCTAAAAACACATTAGATAGCCTTTCAGAATATCATTTTAATCCAACTTTCAGGCCATGGGGAAGACTGTCTGGTGAGCTTGAAGTCTGGAAGTTGGTTGAATGTTCGAGCCATAGATTTAATGGTTTAGTATCAATGAATTAATCCTCTATTAATGCACACGTCACGTTCTTATCTTGGATTGCTGTCCAAGTTTATTCTCACAGGTAATTTGAAATTTCTACAGATTTGTTATTTCATCGCTGCATAACCAACTGTAACGAAAGTAGGAGGTGACATAATTAAGACTGGATAATATGGTTCTATTTTTGTAACAATTTGATGATGCCTGTAAACTGGCGTCCTTCATGTACTGTACTATGAGAATAAATTTATTTTTTATTTATTTAATTGATACAATTACTCATAAGTGGAAATTAAAAGTTGTAAATTACGTGGTACTTAACTAGAATGCTGTTCTCCTGCAAAGTGAATAATCCACACAAAAGTTGTTACAGCAGCTTTCAGCTACTAGTGTGTTGATTCGCTAGAGGTGTCTGAAGTTGATATCCTAGTTGCTATCGTTAGTTCAATGCCAAATGGTCGCTCAGTCATCTACTCGGGTTTAGATTAGAAATGGTCATGACAAATGATTGCGGATGCTGGGCTGAACACAATTTTATAGCAAAGATCAAAAGCTGTGACTCTTTTGCTGCATATTTCTAACGCTGCAAATTTTATATCTTTGAGAAAACTCTGTGTTAAGAATCATCAAATTCAGCTGAATTTTAACCTCTCTAGTGGAGTGTTATGTGGTTTCTACAATCTGCTTTGTTGGGTTTTCTTGAACTACAGGAAGAAGATCACTAAGTCGGATTAATTTCACGTTCTGCACATGAGTGTTTACTCACGTTACGGAGTAACATAGGAATACATAATCGCCATAATTGCAAACTTGTTCCATATATCAAGAAATATATCGAAACCTCTAGCCAACATAGTTATTACTTGGCTGCGATTAGATTGACATACCACATAAGGAAGTCATATAAAACTGAAAAACATGCCGAAAAATCGGCGTTTTTGTAAATACAACGTTTTTATATCTTCGTTTGTGCCTTACTATAATCGAATATTAGAGACTTATCTACTCTGCACTTGAATGACAACTTGTCTTGTAGAGACGCAAGCCAAATTTCATTATATTCAGGTACTAAAGACTCGAAAGTATTTGGAGCATGCTAGATGATTGATATTTGGTGCTGATAGTGTTTCAATGCACTCCTTCAAATTTGCGCGTGTACTTGAAATGTCAACTAGATGTCGTTGACTTTTTAATGAGTAAATGGTGAGAAATACTTGTTAAGATCTTCGAGCCTTACAAATTATAACTAACTAGAACTTAAGGTTGACATATCTGAAAGTCTTGGTAAGTGTAATTGGGTTTCATTTCTGCATATAATTACTCTAATTAACCATGGTTATTTAAAAGTGTAAGCAAAATTCTTATGGTTGAGCCCAACATTTTAAAGCACTACGACTGAGTTTAATCGGTTCTGCTTCATGCGATATTTGAAGTAAAATTTTTCTGATTTACTCGCAAGGACTTTTCGTAATTTCGTATATCATGATTGACATGATGGTTTAGTTAGATGTCTATTCAAAGAGGCCTGTTTAGAAATGGCTCCATATGGTATACAAAGGTCAAGAGATTCGGTCTTGTTACATGTTCCTCGTGTGATAAGTTGGTGATAGATGTAACCATCTTTCGAGCACTTAAGTGCACTTAAGTGTTGATAATTATCAACAGGTATGTGTCACTTCTCAAGCAAGTGTAACAATCAAAGCAGCAGACACACAGGTAATGAAAACAGAACAGGAGTTGTACGGGGAACGTTTATTTGATGAGAGCCAGCTTTTAAAAGGTGCGGGATTCCAGTCTTAGGGTCTAACAGTCTTACTGGTCTTCGTTAAGGTTTAGATCCTGCAATTGTTGTATCTCCTGATCCAGATATTTGACACTGGAGTTTCTTCCTGAAAGCGAAGAAAATAAAACATTGATTAGTGTTTATAATATAGGTTTATGTTTTCATTGCACATGGGCTGTCTGCTTAAGTATCATCTTTTATTTTATCTCGACAAAGACCTGTATATAGTGGTTAAAATTTCATTTGTAGCCCTGATAGGGGTTCTACATCTTTTCTAAAACGTTTCAGGCTGTCAACCTGTAAAGTGGAGAAGGCTTATCGTGGTTTTCAACTTAGAGCTTGCCTCCATGTCGCATTCACTAACTCTTGCATGTGTAATGCTCATGGATATTCACCTATAAAATTCATTTAGAGGCACTCAATATTTTAGGCAATGTAACAAATTAATGGGATAATTTCAATACATTTACATTGCTGTTATTCCTAAGATCTTACATGGCTTTTACTTCATTAACGTTGGAAACTACGGGAGATTTGGATTTCCAGCTTAAGATTCATAAGCCATAGGAGACTTCCTTGAGAATCATACTGTACAGTGAATAACAGATTTTTATTTTCAGCATAACGCAAAACACTTTTTCCAACTATTCTTTTTAGAGTTCTCATTAAGTTTACTGATAAGTGAGCAGTTTAAAGGTTATCTTTGTCCTATTCTAGGGATAGGGTTGACTATTTCAGCTTTCCATACTTTCGGTTGGAATGCAGTATTTACTACAAGGACGGAAACTGCAATGAACTTGAAAAGGAGTACTATGTGATCGCTTTGGATGGAAGGTTACACAAGAATGTTTCCTAATCACCAGAGTTAAGGAAGTATGACTGCAGCAAATTTATTGAAATGCCGAACTAGAACTGATAATTTGAAGAATTCTAGGAGTTTATGATCGAATGTATTGTCTGATGATACTGCCACTAGGTTTCTTCAAACTAATGCTTAAACAAATTACAAGACACCTACATTTTGGTGTCCACACAAATGATTTTCCCATGAATAATTTATTTACTCCACGGTCAAGACTACGACATACTACAGTTGAGTATATGTCTTGTCCTCTATACATTTATTTTACACGATTTTTTGGTATTATCATCAACTTTTTGATTGGCCTATACAGTCAAACTCGTTAGATGGTGATTTGTCTTCAGAGAAATTTGCTTAATCTAGCTTATGTTGTAGGGATGTCATCATTTCTACGCCTTTATCAAATCAAAGAGAAGAATGTTGGCGCTAGGGTTAACACGAAAGTTATATATTCTCGAATTTACTACTGATATAGCTTTTTCAGAGTTCTGCATATAACATAATGATTCCATACAGTACGAATGTTATCTGAATTATACATATATCGCACTAATGATTCTGCCTGCAGAGTTCGCTCTTTAAAGTGACAACCGATTAAAAGTTTTGGGTATCAAAATTTAAACCTGTTTACATAAAGTGGCTTAGAATTCAGTGATCATTATTGGATTATCTATGAAGATAATTCTTTGCAGATAAAAATATTTCACTTTTTCATTATGTATCTGAATAGAATCAACATACGGTGACTGTTTGATTACATATTTTTCAACCTAAACTATTTGTTTCATATTTTTTCAAGGCATATTTAAAAGGGAATAATGACTGTTTGACTTGAGACAGTATTTGCCTTACTTTGAAAGTCACACAGAATTTGTGAGTGACACTATACTAGTGGAATCCACTTCTTGTTTTGACTGTCCCTGTGAATATCATAGTTGTGTAGATAAAATAACATCTTTTTTGGACTATTTTTGTGATCCAGCTTATAAGTCGTACTATAATAACAAGTAACAAGTTTTCATTCTTAGGAAAGCTGAACTGGGTTATCTTCATCTCTAAACTACCGACTGTGTGATAAAAGTTATATTCCACGTACGGAATTCAACCTCACTTTAATTCTGAATAACGATTAAGACTAGTGGAATCTATACAATAAAAGCAAGCAGTTGCATTTTAAAATTTTATTAAGTGTACAAACAATGTTTTTAATAGCTTGGAATTCGTCTGAAGCTGAAAAAAGAAAATTTAAGACTACCTTTGTAAGGTCAACTTCATCATAAGTGGTATAAGTGATCTTAGTTTAATAATGAACTTTAATTTAGATCAAATTCTAAAAAACATATCCGCACAGTATTGTTGAGCACTAACCTAATGCTTGGTACCCAAACAGACTGATTACATAACTGAAAAAATGGTGACGTAGACTACGCAAAGACATAAGCTCTGGAGAAATAATCGCCACAAAACGGATATTTTTAAGGATTATTATCGAGTAATGTACTCATGAAAAAATCATATTTATTCATTCCTTCCAAAGCCACCTATTTGATTTTACATGCCGGTAAATAGGATACTTTTATTGCTGCTACTTTATCTGGGTTAAATAAATATACAGAGAGTTCCAGATAATTTAGAGTTTTCCATCCAGCTATGTTTGTTGACCCTCATTAGGTGTGTTCGACAACTTAGTTGTAACTTTGAACATTCACATTGATGTTCGAGGGAACTGATACAGGCGAAAAGCCAACAGGTAGTTTGAACAAGTTCAGTCTAAAGAAAATTACTTGCTTATTTTAGCAAACTTGGGAATTCCTCGCAGAGCGGACCCATTAAATTCTTAAATATGATAGTCATAAACATAAAATATCGATTCGTTTGTTTGGAATACCTATTTCATTTACCAGTTTTATTAAGCTAATTTTATTTTGTTACTGTGTTACTACTAGATGAAAGAAGTACCTAGGTGGGGTACACCTTGTCAGTATTTTAGCTATCTTCAGGTTGTAAGTGGAAGAGCCTTTTATTAGCAGTTATGATATTTTACACGCACAGTCAAAGTTCTTACTCAATGTAACCACAGGTAGTTCCAGTTGTCGTCATCATGTTATCCATCCTGATATTCTGTTCCATAAATATGATACAAATGTTGAGAAAATCTAAAAGAAAATATGCCGAAAAGGATTCCTGTACGTGTAAAGGTTTATATTAAGCTCAAAAGTTGATGTTTATAGTCTAGTTTCATATTTTCTATAACCCATCTTAAATTTCTATATCAGTACTTTTCCAATTAATTTTTTTAAATCTAAAGAATCCAAATTTTTACTGTATTTTCAGACGATTCATAATGTTCGAGTAGCACACGTCTCAAATGATGCGTATTAAAAAGAAGTGCATATCTCTTGTCCGAAATATAGGTGTATTTCTTTTAAAATATAGCAATATACAACAGCAGCAACTAAAAATAAGCACATTTCGACTGTTAGTGGAATATGTCACTTTACTTTAATTGTTGAATATATGTTGTTAAATATCTTGAATCTACCCAAAAGATGCTAAATTGCATTCGTATGAGTGCTAAATTTATGTCATTAAGTCACAATTAATTTTCAAGATTACAATAATATATACAAATGTATGAACATCTGATGAAATTCTTGTATTTTTTGAACAGTGTTCACCGTCACTTATGATAAATATTGGTGGATAAACCCTAGCATACAGACTAAACACGTCTTGTTTCTTATTTCCAATTAGTCATAGGCATTCACATGTAAGGGAAAATAAATGGTCACAGAATACTGAGGTTTTGCAGATAGAGCATTAATATTCCACCAATCTTCTCCCAGTGAACAGCTTATTATAAGCGATCTGTTTGTATCTATCGCTTACTAAATGTTGATAGTCCTCACTCTCCCTTTATTTTTGAGATGAGTACCGGCTGTAAACAGAACCAAATGACCGGTGAATGTCGCCTTAATCTATCTGTCGTACTGGTACTCAATATTTACTCCAAATATACTTTTCTGACTGGATCAACTCGTCAAAACTCTACATAAGCTCCTTACTTATGTGTGTTTTCGTAAATTTGATCTTTTTTATTCATTCAAACTACAGTCGGTGGGAGAGTAAACGGAGAATACTTAAAAACATCAATAAGTATCATGATCCCTCTTTAATAATTCAGTCAGACAGCACATAAACGGTTGGTCAGTTAGATTCAGTCTAACAGATTTCTGCAGCACAATTTGGTCTCATTACCAGACCATCAAGTTCACGGGAATTAGCCAACGAAAGTTCTCAAACCAGCAGGGTGAATTCCCTAGATTCACAATCCAAATTAGCTGGAGTTAAGTGAATAACTGCATATGAAACTTGATGTATGCCTCAAAGACAAGACATACATACAAGGCCTAAGATATCAGGATTTAAGTTGGTTAGGCCTGTTTCTGATTCGACATAAGGTTGTGACACTGAAAGCCCCAACGCCAAGTTGATAGTAGTGTTTCAAGAGATTAGGAACTGTATTTTCTTTAATCAAGCTGTCAGAAGTAGTTAGAGTTATGGGAAAGTGAAGAAATCGTGTGGAAAATTGAGTTAGCAGTAGATTGAAATGAAGTTTCAGGGAAGAGGGGAGATGAA